GTTGGTCCATTGATTGTAATCATGCGATTTGTTTTGGGGTTATAGATTTTTGGCTTTCTCCAACGATTAGTCAATTTGGATAATTGCTCAGCAGTAATCGTTTCTTTGTTGTATTCCGGCTCTTTAGTGTATAATTTATACTTTTTTTAGTGTGGTATATGTAGTATCAGTATGTAAAGTTATTTTATCTCATTATAAATTCGAAATATTTAAATTGATATTTATATTTGAATCTTATACATATATTATATATTACATCCTAGAATACTTTCATGGATCGCGCTATCTGCCCTCACATTAAAAGAGATGGATCCATCTGCGGAAATAAATGCTGGCGACCTACGGGTTGTTACAGACATTGGAGTTTACATGAGAAAAATATAGAGAAATTTCCTTGCGGTATTTGTGGGAAACCTACTATATCTATTACGGGGTATTGCCCAAAACATTCTGGTCGATTTCATTCATTGAATTATCGGATGAGACAAAAAGGGCTTATTTTTCAAGTTTCTGAGTAGGCAAAGCTCATGTTTCGAAGAAGAGGCAGAGCTTCGAATCTCTGATTCATCACCTAAAGGTTTGCAAGACAATAAATAAATTTTTAGTATATATCATTTATTTCGGAAGAAATGGAACTTCGTTCCTGGGCGACACAAAAATCCCTTCTGCAGAGGATAGTATGATTCGAAGTGTCGATTTTTTACAAATATCATTTTTAAGCGTCACAAAAACCCCCTTTGTAAGCTATATTATAGACCATTATTAATAAATACTCATTTTAACAGATATCAAATAGGTTCTGAGTATCTTGTGAAATAGAATTGGGAGAGCTTTCTATTTCATCAGGTGAAAGTTTACTATATCCATAACGTATATCCTCTCCATTTTCATAAAAGGGACCTTCTTCCGTTTGGTATGGTGGCAACTTTGGAGCATCTTCACTATCGAATGGACTAACTAGATAATAATACCTAAGATTTTTATCTATAGCCTTAAATTTTAATCCGTAAGTTTCATTCAATACTGTATTCAATAATCCTAATTTCGATTTTATCGATTTTAAGCCAGATTTTTTAGTACTGCGAATTGCGTCTGTATTATCAAAAACCCGAGCCATTTAGGCACTAAACCTCATAGATACAGGTGACTCTAAGCATGATTTAACAATATCGGCTTTATATCTACCTCGATCATCAATATCTTTAACGGGTGTGCAAGTCTTTAGTAATTCCAGACATATTCGATGTTTTTCTGCTTGAGTGACAGTCGTGAGCCTATCATTTCTATAATCTTCACGGACAATAGCATTAACTGCTGTCTTATTATCAATACCCGCATCTCGCAGTTTTCGGAGATTTCTAAACCATTTCATTTCATTATATTCACCATAATCCGTAATGAATTCCTCAGTTAAAGATTCAGATGATAACCCATAACACTCTGCTATATGAAACCGCTTTAGGGCTCGCATTTCCTCTAAGGTCTTTTTTGATTTATTCTCTAGAATCTCAGCCATTTCGTGATTAATAATATTAGCATTTGCGATATTTGAAACCCCCTCTGCTTTAATAACTGAAGAACACGCTTTTATTGTTCCAGTTAATGATATTGTACCATCTTCGGGTTTAGGCAATGCTACTGATTCTAATATATCGATTCCCATCCCTGCTTTTCGGAGAAAATCAACCATTCTCCATCCAAACAAATGACGAGATCGGAATTTTTCCAATGTATGGGCAACCCATAATCGGACTGTTGGAATGTCTCTATTTCGGAAAATGGATTCTACATCTGGAAATATTCCCCTATTCTGAAGTTCTTGGGGGAGGCATTCGCGCTTAGCTTTTAATAGCCAGTTTAATAATCCTTCTTCTGTAATTGGGAGATTTGACGATCTTTGTTCAATGTGACATGTGTATTCTTTAATACACCTCATACGAAATGACATCTGGTTTGTCCCAGCATTTGTTTCTATATAGCTTTTGAAAAGACAAAATGCCCGCTCAAACTTGGGGTTAGTACATGAGACTCCTATTTTTAATGTACTGGTGTATGCCACTATATCTACATCTTTCCATGCTTCCTCAACATTACTAAAGTCCCGCATTTTTTCAACTGGATCAGAATCACCATGATACTCCTTGATACGTAATTCTGGAAAATCAGTTTTAAGAGCACGAACAATCCCTTGTATATCCTTTCTAAGATGACATATAACCGATGCACTCTTCTGCTCCTCGGGTTCCAATACAGACATTTTTCTAGCCCAATCCCAGAGTTCTGACAATAAAGTTTCTTTGTTAGGAGCCAGATGGAACAATTTACCTTTCTGGGGTTGATAAGTATTATGGATAACTGAAAATTGCTTACCTCTTCGAAGTGATTTGATCCATTCTATATTAAGATCAGTAAGGTCATTATCCATAACAATAATACGCCTCGCTTCTTGAATTAGCTTATGTAAATGCTCCCTTGACCGCCCTGCTAAGCGAGTGTGTGCTTGACTATTCACAGATACTACCTCATCGAGCCATAAGTCATATGGTATTGGAGGACATTTACATTTTTTCTCGCATTTGCATTTGTTAATAATGCGATGTAAACTTTCTATCTGACATACTACTCTTTGATGATCCGGGAGATTTATATCTTTAGTATCAATATCGCAGTAGGATTTGAGATTAAGCCTTACTGTAACTGCACTAGAATAAGTATGTCGCGTAGATAGAGCGAGCAAATTTATAGCTTCAGGGATAGTAAGGTGCTCTAAAGTATAAGTCTTTCCCGTTTCCCAAGGTGATCCTACATATACATCACCCTCCTCGGGTAAAGGTTTTACATATCGCTCCTCATATACTTCTGTTGCGGTAAGGGGGGAGTCACATTTAGCCCAAGCTGGCATTTCTAAGAAGGGTTTTGGGAACTTTGGACCCTTTATTTTATGAGAAATGGGCGGAGAAATATTATTTTTATTTTTTTGCTGGATTTTTTCCGCGATAGATGGGTCATTGAAAATTTTCCCGGGTTCATCTCTATTTTGCTGGAAGCATTTCACAATGAATGTTCCATCATAACGCGCGCGACCGAACCACCGCTGATCCTTGTCATGTGTGCGTTCACAAATTGGACATTCTAGATATGTTTTCCGATTAAAGTATACATACCATTGAGAATCTTTTTCTTCGATATCCCAACTCCCAAGATATTCAGAATACTTCTGCAAAACTAGATTTGCATATTTTTTTAACGCATCATGACCCACGATTATTTTTTTCTGATTATTTATTTTTTCTATACTAAGTATACGGGGCCTTACTTCATATCTCGAACTAGTAGGTGGTTGAACTCTGGCGTCATTGACATTGTTCCACCCATTATCTAGTGAGTATTGGAGAATGCGCTTCACGCGATCTTTTTTTGCTGAACCTATTAAGCGGAGACAGAAATTTCGACCAGGTAACCCTCTATCAATAAACTTTCTATATTTTTCTCCGGTTAATCTGTATACTAATTCTGTAAATTCTTTTAGCTCTAGATAATCAATAAGTAAAGTTGGGGCGTATAGAAGGTGATAACTGCATTTATTATCATTAGATGATGTCATAATTACCAATCCTTCAATAATTTCTTCCCAACTACAATCAAGAATTCGATACAATGCTCTTACAAATGAACAACAAATGCTGAAAAACACATTTTTAGTATTAACGTTTTCAGCTTCCATTTTTTCTTTAGACGCGTCAATATCAATCACAGCTCTTAAAGGCCGTTCCCCGCTAATACATTCATGAATTCCAGGTAATCCATATATCTCAGATATGTCATCTATGACAGAAAACTTTGGTGCTTGGTTATCTTTTTGGTCAATTTGAATAATCAATCTATTAGTTAATTCATCTCTTTTATACGCATCGAGCAAACTAATTCCGCTCTTTGCTTCACGATTAGGCAAGAGGTAGTCCCATAAATGTAAATCTTCCAGCGAACCTTTTTTATCTGTCATATCTCTGGCAGGTGAAGAAACGATTTTACGGATTTTATCCATCACATCTTTTTGTGTAAATTTATCATCGAATCTCTCTTGCCTTTTAGAATATGTAACTCCCACTCGATCTGTGGAATTTGTCGAATTAGACATTCGCTCTTCTACTTTAGGGGGTTGGGATATTGGAGACTTAATAGTACTGGTCTCGGTATCTGACTCATATTCAGAGCCATAGTCACTGCAATTTTCTGACCCACTTTCAGATGTATTATCACTATAGACATCTGAGTCACTTGAATAGTCATCGCTTTCCCCGCCCCCGTACCGCTCGAGTTGTGCGCTTTGTTTACTCATTTTTGGTATTTGGTTTTTTTATGTTATGAATCTATCAGTTAACAAAGTTATATTATCCCAATATATTTTCGAAAGTTTAAATTATTTTTTTCAGTTGGTGGTAAGTGATAGTAAAAAATATGCATCGAATATTCTTAGCGAAAATGTAAATGAATGTGATAGAGATAAAGAAAACTTTATGGTGTAATCTTCGGAAACTCTACTATGTAGAGAAATGGAAGAACACACCACCCTAGCATATGTATTTCGGGTATGTTTTTGGTATGTGTTCGAGTGGTGTAATCTTCAGTAATATTATATATAAAATATGGAAGAACACCTCATCTCGATTGGTATGATTGGGTATGCTTTTGGGGTAGGTAAAATGAAGTAATCTTCGGAAACTCTACTATGTAGAGAAATGGAAGAACACTTCATCCGATATGGTATGTGCTTAATGGTATATTTTCGGGTATATGATCAATAATGTGTTTTTAGGTAAGTCAAGGTGAAGTAATCTTATATAATAAATATGGAAGAACACTTCACTTTTTGATAATATGTTTCGGGTATGTGTCAGGGAGGTAACTTCAGATTTCCTATAGTAAAAATAAGGGTTATACACCCGCCTTCTTGCATATAACATAGACAGATAATATTTACATGATAACATAACCGATAGCATTTGCGCGATATATTTCGTATACATATTTGATAACATATACCTGATAGCATGACTCGACAACATAACCAGATTCGTGTATATAGCATAACCAGATAGCATGTATATAACATACGCGATAGCAATTAGATAGCATTCCCGATAGCAATTACGCAACGTATATTGATAGCATTCCCCAATAACATTTATAATGTATATATCGATAGCAATATGTAGGTAACATTAGACCAGCAAATGACGATACATAACTGAATGCATCGTCGGTATATTTTTTTTGCCCATAACAGAAATCAGTCGCAATCGGGTCATTAAACTCTCGATAATGTGTATATAGCAAAGTCGATAGTATTCCTTGGTAGCATACTCGATGATGTAGTCGACTCACGGAGTGAGGATGCTTACGCATCTAGCATACATATAGCATGTCCCGATTGCATTAATTTTTCTATTAAATATTCTATGTGGTATATATTGTTAAAGAATTTAGCATAAATATGGTTGATCTATTTGGTGGCGAAGAAGTATACAACAAGGAATATGAAGTTGAAGACTGTCATGTTAACAGGGATTCTCCTATGTGTACACCATGTAAAAAGTGTGGTAAGTTAACTTTTTCTATATCGACAATATGTACAAGGCATGGTGGTAAGTATCGAAATATGAAACATTATTACTGGAAAAAGCTAGAGAAAATGGCAGAAAAATCAGAAGTGCTTAAAGAAAACTCGCAATAACATGACCCGATAACATGTATATAGCATAATGACACTGATGATGGTATCATATTTTTGTCGTCAAAAATGTGTCATAAAAAATATATCACGACACTGACGACGGTGTCGCATTTCTGTCATCACGACACTGACGACGGTGTCGCATTTCTGTCATCACGACACTGATGACGGTGTCGCATTTCTGTCATCACGACACTGACGACGGTGTCGCATTTCTGTCATCACGACACATACCTGAGTGGGAATAACCTAGACTAAGTGGGAATAACATAATTATGTTATTCCCACTGGGCACAATCCCACACTATCCATCTCACACATACTTGATCAATTCCTAGGACGCCTTCTCTTTCTCCGTACTCTAGATTTACAAATAGACCCACACATCCCCTGGACAACCCCCAATAACATTCTCTCTGTCATCTCTCTCTCCAAATCTAGATACATCTCCCCCTTCCCCTAACATAAATATATGCCAAATATAGGGCTTTATTCTCTTCCTCTGCATGTATTGTAGATAGATAAAAACAGCTCAAACTGGGCTTTAGCGAGCACCTTGTTGTGAATAAAAGTCCCTCGCGATAGTAGTTTTGAAGAGCATGTGGATATGATGCTTGTGCAAAATGATCCCAATGTTTTTTGTGATACCAATTACACCATGCAAATTTTTGATTGACAGAATTGATATACTTCATATGTGCTCTCTCTGTATATTTGATCTTTTGTCCAGAAAATGTCTTTGCCCAACAGAATTAATGGATGTAATAGTGCATGCCTCTTTACCATTATCAATAAATTTTCTCTGTATTCCTTGGGACATATGGTGCTAGTATTATTGTTTGGAATCCATTGAGGATCAATAAATTCAAATTGTCAATTGGCTGCCTGTGCTGTCTCTTTTTTATATTGACTGGCTCTCTCTCTTCTTTCTTCCAATTCTCTATTAATAGCACACTCTATATGCCAAAGACAAAGTTGTACAGCTGCCTTGTTATCCCATGCCTTTTGATTGCATTAATATCACCAATGTCTTTATCAACCAAGGCAAATATTGGGAGACTATTTTCCTGTCACAAGGCCAAAAAAAATTCTCTAAGAACTCCCTCATGGTTTTGAATACTATTATTGTTATTACTATTGGAAATGTCCTCCAGCAGTACAAGTGTGACCACATATAGATATGCTAGTGGTACACCATATCCACCATTACACATTATTGATAATTATGCCAAAAAGTTCAAAATGTTCTTGGTTTGTTTTAAACATAGAATTGACAACAAGCTCATTCATGTTATCACTCCCAATAAGCTGCAAGAATGGTGTACAAAACCTGAGAGCTCTTACATAATCATTCTCAAGATAATAAATCACTTTATATCCAGCATTCATTTGCACACTATGCTCTAGAAGAAATTAGCTGATTTTTGGTATCAGTGATAAATTGGCTGTTTGACAGCTTTGCTGCCCAATAATATACTTGCTGACTTATGGGTCAATTAGTCTGAGTTGAGACAGTCTTTATGAAACTCAATTTTATGTAAGTTGTAATTGAGATTGTTTCTTATTCAAGCTATGGCTTCTGACTTCTCTATGGGTTGGTGTTGGATGACTGCATTAGTGATTAATTGACATTACAGCATTCTTTTTGTGAAGATCGATTTTTATTGTCATGCTACCCTTACATGGATAACATTCAATAGCTGGTCTAACCTCGCACTCACGTTTAACTGATTCATCGCACCGTTTGATCTGGAAAATTGGCGTTCCTCCTGTATACAACCAAAATATACCATAACCATTCTTGTAGGGTTTCTGACCTTTTTATTGACATGAACTCAGCGGATTTCCCAATAATATGCTGATTCATTTTCCAAATGCATTAGTATTTGAAGGTGCTTAGCAATTTCTTGCACTATTGCTGATTCCGAATCTTCTGTCAGATGAACGCTGACCATTTCATCCTCAAGCAACAGCTATTGGTTGTGTTATGGCAAGCTGATCTGATGAATCAGATAAGTAAGTCACATGGTATGAATAAGAATCTAACAATAATCTCAATCAATGCAAATGGGCTTTCAGCTCACCATAAATTCTCTTTCTTACTCTCTAAGATTTCTCACATTCATGCATCCATCATTCTTATTCAGGAATTCTTTACTAACTCTTCACAATTTCCAGATGATTATCACATCTCTATATTCAAATCTCTATGGCCTGGTTCCTTTTTCTTCACCAAACATCTCATAACTTTAATCTCTCCTTCCTACACAGCATCTCATATCTTCACATCAAATGACCAAAGGATACTGGACATTAAGGTTTCTTCAAAGTCATCCTCCTTTATTGTTAGAAACATTTATGCTCCTGCAGAAGTTCAACCCAATAAGCTCTTCTGGGCAAACTTTCCCCCTATTACATCCTCTCACCCACAGATTGTTGGAGGTGATTTTAATACAACTGTACACTTGCGGGACAGAATTTCCTCCTCTTCAACTCCCACCTCTCCTAACATTAATCTCTTTCCCTCCTTATTCCCAAACCTGATTGATTTTGCAGGATCATTACCTGGTCCTCCTAAATTTACATTCTTTCGAAATTCTATCAACTATTTTTCTAGATCCCGAATTGATTTTATACTCCTCTCTCCTTCCTTCATATTACCCTCCTCTTCATCTTTTACACTTTCCTTAGGCTCACTCTCAGATCATCGTGCCATTGTTTTTAAATCTTCTATTACTCTACCTCGTCCACAATGGCATATGAACACATCCCTCCTCTCCATCCCTTATGTTAAAAACAATATTTCTTCTATTTTATCCTCACACACTCCTCCATCTTCTCCTGACAGTTGGGATAATTGTAAGAATGCTATTAAGAACTTTATGTCATCCATTTCTACCTCTTATGCTAAGAAAACCAATTCATCTATTAAGAATCTTACAAACCGCATTTATAAGCTAGAAAACTCTAAACATCCTGATACCACTCTCATTTCTCACTTAAAAAATATCCTTGCTAAACTAGAACACAAAAAACTTACCTCACTTGCCATAAAATCAAAAATCAAGTGGTATGAACAAGGTGAAAAACCTACTTCATACTTCTTTAACCGTTTTAAGCATAGACAATCCAACATTAATATAGATGAACTCTTCATA